ACTTTAAGGTATTGTAGATCATTTATTTGTCTAATATTGGTAAAATTTTTATATTAATCAGTTGGCGTATTCACGTCTTTCCGTTTAACCCTGCGTTAAGCTAACGGCCGGGTTAAAATTTAACGGCAGTTTTTAAAACCGGCGTTAAAAAAAATTCGTATTCTCGTGTCCTCCGTTCAGCAGCCGTATTCACGTCTCTCCGTTAAGTTAACGAAGAGTTCAAGTGACTGTTAAGAAAAAAATTGTTAACGGGCCGTTACGAAACGGATGGAGAAAAATAGTATTCTTGTCCTTCCGTTAAGTCACCGTTTATTAACCGCTCCGTTAACTTTGTCAGTTAAATTTCTTCCGTTAGCCCGCTTGGTTAGCTAACTTTCGTGCTGTTTTTTACATAGCATCCAAATGTAACGATGCCAACTGGTACATAATATTGTTTAGATGGTACATCACAGCGTTATTTTTTTTAAATGTTTGCTGCGTAATTTTCTAAACTTAATTTAAACAAGTTAAAGTAATAAGCCGTTTTAGGACTTGTACTAAGGACTAATAACCGTTTTAGACTTGTACTAAGTACTAATTTTTTATATTTTTAAATTAAACTTTTTATATTTTTAGAGTTAAAAAATATATAAACACCATCAAAAAAATTGAATTAGAGCTACATAAAACTATGAAATGGAGTTACTCTATACAACTCATTTGCTCTATCACAAATTAACAACAAATACAAAATTAATAAACCATTTATTATTATAAAAAAAGAATTTGAAAATGAGTAAACTTATTTAGATAAAATATGTTCAAAAATGTCGCAAAGCAAAATCATCACGAAATTGGAAATTGTTTTCAGCTACTATATCTTCATTATCATTTTCATCATTTTCGATTGGATTTTCATCCATGTCTCCGTCATTTAACTGTATTGCTAAATTGTGCAATACTGCGCACGCAGCAACTAAGGTACAGGTTCTTTCAGGGGTCATTCGAATTTCACCATGAAGCAAATGAAAGCGTCTTTTCCATCTTCCAAACACTTGTTTAATTATAACTCTTGTTTTTCTTAAAAAAATATTATATCTATGCTGAGATGCTGTAGTTGGATTTAAATAGGGCGTCAGCAACCAACGAAAACACGGATAGCCGGAATCACCAATAGGTAAGCCTTTAAAAGTTCCATCCATAAATTTCTTACCAAGTTTTGGCTCTCTTAAAATCCTTGCATCATGTGTGCTCTTAGGCCATTTTGCAACAACATCAATGAACTTTCCTTTGTTGTCACACACCGCTTGGACATTGATTGAATGATTTGATGACCTATCAACATAAGCATATTCGTGCTCGTGTGGTTTCTGTATGCAAATATGCGTGCAATCTATTACGCCAGTTACTTTTGGAAATTCTGCAATTTCATAAAATTTCACTCTGCTCTCGTTTAAAACGTGTTGATTTGTTGGGTATTTGATGTATTCATTAATTCGTTTCGCTAGACTTAAAGAAACTCGACAAATGGTTCTTGAAACAGTCGGTTGACTTAAAGCTGCTGTAGAGTCACCAACCACAATTTGAAAAGATCTTGTTGCATAAAATCGAAGTGCACATAACAATTGCAAAATAGGTGCCACAATTAAAGTTTGGTTTGACTTTGGCTGTAAATCTATTTGCAGCAAATCTGTCAAATAGAAAATAGATGCTCTACGAAACATAAACCTTTTATATAAGTCAATGTCATCATAAATATCGAGTGGGTTGTTTTGGTCTCTGAATATTCTTTCTCGTCTGAGAGCTCTTTCGACAGCAATTTCTTGACGTCTAACTTCTGCAAAAACCAGTTGCGTATGTATGAATTGGCGCATTATGAAATATGCTTACCTTACGATGAAACAATATTGAATACTCTTTATTCTATATGTTTAATGTTAATGCTTTTAGTTTTACTTCATTTATATATAACGGCATACTTAAAAAATGTTGTATGTTGCAAAAATATAGCAGCACAGACTCATTACAACTTCATTGTTTCCTGGCAATATTTAGCAAATAGCATGGTAGTGATAAATATTTGCTAATCGTTTTTTGGCAATGTTTAATGAATACCATCATAGTAATAAACATATTTTAATCGTTTCTTATCAGTGTTAAACAAATACCGTCATAGTAATTACAAATGAATCCAGACAACAAATAAGGCATGGCAACTTGAAACATCATTTTAATTACTTAATAAATTTGTTATAAGTTGTGTAAAATTATTTTATTTTAGTTATACAATTGATTGTTAATAGTTATATTAAAATTTAAAAAACCACAATGGAACTACCAACTGCACCCAACTGTTTACCAACTGTAAAAACTCTAAAGAAACGTGCACACAGAGGAAAAGTCTATACGACAGAAGAGAAATGGTTGTTGGTAACGAAGTATGAAGAGCATAAGGAGGTTCTTCTATCAAAGGATGGAAAAGCAGAGATTAATAAGCGAAGAAATCTCATATGGAATGAGGTAATCCTTTGTATTATATTGATTGAAAGAAAAAAATACTCATCAAATATAAATAATTTATTACATACTTTTTAGATCACCCATGCTTTAAACAGCTTAGGATACGATAAAAGAACAGTTTCCAGCGTGAAAAGTTTATGGTATAATCTTTTAAAAACTGAAAAAAAAGAGATTTGTGCAACAAAAAAAATTCCAACTGGAGGAGGCCCAGCGATTATTTTATCAGGAATGAGATAAAATAATCGCTGAAAAAATATTAGCTATATACGGAGAAAGTTCTCCAATATTTTTAGGGTTGGAAGGTGTGGAAACCAATGACATTGAGGTCGTATCCGATGTAGAGATTTCTGCCATGCCAGTTGTGTTTGATGCTACAAATAGTGCAACTCCAAACACTGTAACTGCAGATGAAAAAAGTGACAACGAAAATAACTTAGGACAAATCAAACATTCTAGTAATCACGAAAAATCTTCGTCAGAAACAAAGAAAAAAAGAACTCCGGGTCTACACCTGTCAACTGTAGATGTGAAACCATGTAAGCAGATGTTGGAACATGAAGTTATAAACAACATTTAATGATAATGAAACAGAAAAGATAAAATTTTGAGCAGAAACGTGTTCATTAAAAGCACAAAAGAAACAATTTTTAATTGTTTCGTTATGATTTGTTATTGTTTAAAAAAAAAAAAAATGAATTTGTTAATGGTAGCTGATTTGAATATCTCAAAAGCAAAACAGCATGGAGAACAATTAACCATAATAATAATTTTAGCAATTGTTCGACAGAAAAAAACTGAAAACTTAGGTTCTTCTTATTAAACAACTTTTGTGTCTTTAAATTTACATTTATTAAATAAATTTATTTACAGAGCATGTTTTTTTAATTTGCGATGATTTTCTGAGAATATACATTCATTATTATTTGTTTTAATTTTTTAATCTTCAAGTTTAATAAAAAATTAGTTTATCAGTATTCTAAGAACATAAAAATTGCGAAAGGATCCTAATTAGAGACAAATGGACATAAAATTTATTCTTAAGCAAAAGAAAAGTTAAATAAAAATTTATTTCATAAGTTCATATTATTGTATAAAAATAATTACAAAATAATCAACAATAAATTGAAATTAAATCACTTAAAAATTAAACATTCTTCGTTCTTTTTTTTAAATAGCTTTCCTTTAATAAAAGTATTTTTTCTTTTATAGATGCATTTCTTTTTTTCAAGTCGACTAACTCGTTTTTAGAAATGAAATAATCTCTTTCAGCTTGTAACTTTAAAACTTTTTCCTTAAGTTTAACTTCTCCTCTGAAATGTAACTCTCCATATCTACAGTTGACAGGTGTAGACCCGGAGTTCTTTTTTTCTTTGTTTCTGACGAAGATTTTTCGTGATTACTAGAATGTTTGATTTGTCCTAAGTTATTTTCGTTGTCACTTTTTTCATCTGCAGTTACAGTGTTTGGAGTTGCACTATTTGTAGCATCAAACACAACTGGCATGGCAGAAATCTCTACATCGGATACGACCTCAATGTCATTGGTTTCCACACCTTCCAACCCCAAAAATATTGGAGAACTTTCTCCGTATATAGCTAATATTTTTTCAGCGATTATTTTTTCTCATTCCTGATAAAATAATCGCTGGGCCTCCTCCAGTTGGAATTTTTTTTGTTGCACAAATCTCTTTTTTTGCAGTTTTTAAAAGATTATCCCATAAACTTTTCACGCTGGAAACTGTTCTTTTATCGTATCCTAAGCTGTTTAAAGCATGGGTGATCTAAAAAGTATGTAATAAATTATTTATATTTGATGAGTATTTTTTTCTTTCAATCAATATAATACAAAGGATTACCTCATTCCATATGAGATTTCTTCGCTTATTAATCTCTGCTTTTCCATCCTTTGATAGAAGAACCTCCTTATGCTCTTCATACTTCGTTACCAACAACCATTTCTCTTCTGTCGTATAGACTTTTCCTCTGTGTGCACGTTTCTTTAGAGTTTTTACAGTTGGTAAACAGTTGGGTGCAGTTGGTAGTTCCATTGTGGTTTTTTAAATTTTAATATAACTATTAACAATCAATTGTATAACTAAAATAAAATAATTTTACACAACTTATAACAAATTTATTAAGTAATTAAAATGATGTTTCAAGTTGTCATGCCTTATTTGTTGTCTGGATTCATTTGTAATTACTATGACGGTATTTGTTTAACACTGATAAGAAACGATTAAAATATGTTTATTACTATGATGGTATTCATTAAACATTGCCAAAAAACGATTAGCAAATATTTATCACTACCATGCTATTTGCTAAATATTGCCAGGAAACAATGAAGTTGTAATGAGTCTGTGCTGCTATATTTTTGCAACATACAACATTTTTTAAGTATGCCGTTATATATAAATGAAGTAAAACTAAAAGCATTAACATTAAACATATAGAATAAAGAGTATTCAATATTGTTTCATCGTAAGGTAAGCATATTTCATAATGCGCCAATTCATACATACGCAACTGGTTTTTGCAGAAGTTAGACGTCAAGAAATTGCTGTCGAAAGAGCTCTCAGACGAGAAAGAATATTCAGAGACCAAAACAACCCACTCGATATTTATGATGACATTGACTTATATAAAAGGTTTATGTTTCGTAGAGCATCTATTTTCTATTTGACAGATTTGCTGCAAATAGATTTACAGCCAAAGTCAAACCAAACTTTAATTGTGGCACCTATTTTGCAATTGTTATGTGCACTTCGATTTTATGCAACAAGATCTTTTCAAATTGTGGTTGGTGACTCTACAGCAGCTTTAAGTCAACCGACTGTTTCAAGAACCATTTGTCGAGTTTCTTTAAGTCTAGCGAAACGAATTAATGAATACATCAAATACCCAACAAATCAACACGTTTTAAACGAGAGCAGAGTGAAATTTTATGAAATTGCAGAATTTCCAAAAGTAACTGGCGTAATAGATTGCACGCATATTTGCATACAGAAACCACACGAGCACGAATATGCTTATGTTGATAGGTCATCAAATCATTCAATCAATGTCCAAGCGGTGTGTGACAACAAAGGAAAGTTCATTGATGTTGTTGCAAAATGGCCTGGGAGCACACATGATGCAAGGATTTTAAGAGAGTCAAAACTTGGTAAGAAATTTATGGATGGAACTTTTAAAGGCTTACTTATTGGTGATTCTGGCTATCCGTGTTTTCGTTGGTTGCTGACGCCCTATTTAAATCCAACTACAGCATCTCAGCATAGATATAATATTTTTTTAAGAAAAACAAGAGTTATAATTAAACAAGTGTTTGGAAGATGGAAAAGACGCTTTCATTTGCTTCATGGTGAAATTCGAATGACCCCTGAAAGAACCTGTACCTTAGTTGCTGCGTGCGCAGTATTGCACAATTTAGCAATACAGTTAAATGACGGAGACATGGATGAAAATCCAATCGAAAATGATGAAAATGATAATGAAGATATAGCAGCTGAAAACAATTTCCAATTTCGTGATGATTTTGCTTTGCGACATTTTTGAACATATTTTATCTAAATAAGTTTACTCATTTTCAAATTCTTTTTTTATAATAATAAATTTTGTATTTGTTGTTAATTTGTGATAGAGCGATAGAGTTGTATAGAGTAACTCCATTTCATAGTTTTATGTAGCTCCAATTCAATTTTTTTGATGGTGGTTATATATTTTTTAACTCTAAAAATATAAAAAGTTTAATTTAAAAATATAAAAAATTAGTACTTTGTACAAGTCTAAAACGGTTATTAGTCCTTAGTACAAGTCCTAAAACGGCTTATTACTTTAACTTGTTTAAATTAAGTTTAGAAAGTTACGCAGCAAACATTTAAAAAAATCACGCTGTGATGTACCATCTAAACAATATTATGTGCCAGTTGGTATTGTAACATTTGGATGCTATGTAAAAAACAGCACGAAAGTTAGCTAACCAAGCGGGCTAACGGAAGAAATTTAACTGACAAAGTTAACAGAGCGGTTAATAAACGGTGACTTAACGGAAGGACAAGAATACTATTTTTCTCCATCTGTTTCGTAACGGCCCGTTAACAATTTTTTTCTTAACAGTCACTTGAACTCTTCGTTAACTTAACGGAGAGACGTGAATACGGCTGCTGAACGGAGGACACGAGAATACGAATTTTTTTTAACGCCGGTTTTAAAAACTGCCGTTAAATTTTAACCCAGCCGTTAGCTTAACGCAGGGTTAAACGGAAAGACGTAAATACGGCAACTGAATAATATAAAAATTTTAACAATATTAGACAAATAAATGATCTACAATACCTTAAAGTTTCATAAAGTACCTGTCATAATTTACAGAGCTGTGATTCATAGAAAAAATGTGCCAACTTATAATGAAAAAATATATATGCTTTTTTTTTGTAGTCTAAAAATGTATCAAAATGGTAGTCTAAAAATGTATCAAAATTTAGACAAACCTTTTTTCTAACTACGTGCAAAATTTCAAAAAAATTGGTTAATAATTAGCGGTACACTGTCGTTTGCCCTAATACGTGTCTTGGCCAAATTACAAAAATCGGGTCACAGATATTAGCTCGCGTTTTTACGGCAAATTACGAATTTACGCACGTACCTGTATTATAGAATAAAGAAAAAAAAAGGTGGAGGATGATGACAATGATGATGAGATCATATAAAATACAGCATAAAAAATACATTTATACAATGAATTTTATTTAAATACATAAAAACACAAATTTAAATAAAATTTTAGGATGCATTAATATTTAAGCAGCTCTGGTCATAGATCAGCAAATTAAATCAGTGAATTCTTGTGTGATATTATGCTGAGAAGATCAAAATGCTAAATCACTCTCTAGTTCATCTATTACAATTTTCTTATTACTTTTATCTGAATCGTTATCAGATAAAGCTTTAAGTTCACTAATTTCATTATCAATTTGATAAGAAATATTGAGGATATTATCCAGAGCAGTAGTGTTGGAAGGTTCATTATCTGGTGTTCAACCCATGTTTTTTGCAATTGCTTTGAACAACTGTTTTGGGCAAAACGTCAATAGGCTGAGGAAAATAAAACCCAGTTTTACCTATGTAATCATAGTTAAAGGCTCCATCAATAACCATTTCCTCTTGATTGATTTCGGACAAATAAATAAATAAAAGTTTAAATAAAATAGTTTTAACTTCTTCTCGAATTTTTTTTCTTTCAGACCAATAGCTTATAACTAAAACCAAGATTACTAAATATACAGGATGTGATATAATAAAAAACTATGTACTTGAATGAAAACATAAATATATTTTTCTCTCCGTAAAACTCTCCATTAAAAACATTTTGCGTCACGCATTTTTATACCTTTGGCGAGCCATTAATGATACGCTTATGGTCCGGCAATGGCTAGCCAGTTCTGGTTCGCCAGCTAAAGCCCTTAACTGGATCACATGTGTTTTGCCGGACCTGGCTCGCTAGCTCTGACCCATTAATGTACTGCTGATTGGGATGTTGATTTCATATTTTCAGCCATTGTTGCAACAGCAAGCAATTTTTTCAAGTTAACGTCATCTGAAGATCTGATTACATTACGGGACTCATCCCTAAATCTAAGATTAGCACCAGGACATTTAACATTCACTATTTTCCAAAAATCTATAATCAACTCCAAAAAAATAATAGTACCCTTGACACTTTCTTGGTCTATTTTAGAATGAGTTTTTAGAGCTGCAACTGTCTCTTCACTGAATACTTGCAAACAAGTAATTACTTTTTTGTCGTTCTACTGGTTTAGAATTTATTGATGTTTCAGTCAACTTTAATAACTTTAACAATTGGTTTTTTTCAAGTGTATATAAGTTAACTAAATCTCTCCAATTTGCAATGTAAGATATTTCATTATAAATAAACTGCAACTGAACTAATTTTTTTGTCTGACAATTATTTCTAATACACTTTAAAAGATGGACATATAAAATATAATTTCCATTTTGACATAACCAAGGTTTTCCATCTACTGTTATAAATTTAGAAAATAAGCTTTGGTTAACTTTATTACCATCAGTAATAATTGCAACTACTTTACTATTACATATAGAACTTTCTATGGTGTCTACAATTAACTTGCATTGATCATTTACATAAACTTCATTAATTAATTAAACACAGTTTCTTTTTTTTTCCTCATTTTTTAATAGCTCAGAACTTAAAAAACCAAATCGTCTTGAGAATTTATTTTTGAAGTTATATGAGTTAAAGTTTGAGTACTGGGCAACTTATAATCATAACACAATTGATTGTAAGTGGAACGACTTGTTGCAAAATATTCAAATGCCCTGGTTGTTATATCAGGTGAATATACAGTTAAGCCAACAGAATGATCTCCCATTATATTTAGATGCTGAAATAATATTTGGGTTTTATGATCCTCATCTTTAACTTTTAGATATCTAAGAACTTCATTTAAAGCTAACTTTGTATTAAATGAAGTTATTATGTTTTTCGAAAGAGATTTAACAGTACATTTTGAACCATAATGAAATGCTTCAAACATTAAACTTTGATTAATTATCAGCAAAAATAGTGGAACCCCACAATTAAAAACTTTGACTGAAAAAAAAAAGAATTTTTTTGCTTGTATGTAATTATATCATTTTTAGTAGATAAGTTTTTTTCAATATCTTCAAACTTTAAATTATCAATTATTCTATAATCTTCTAATTCATCTTTTTCGATACCTCTTTTTGAAGAAAAAGATAAAGTTTTTCTCATTTTTGGTCGTAGAGAGGACAGACAACTTTTAGAGATATCTGGAAACACTAATGGAGGATTAATTGGTCTCAGTTTACCACGATATAAAGTAAACTCAGCATTTTCAGGCCAATGCAATTTACAAACAACGCTATATTTTGGTAAAGTCTAGTGTGAGCGAGGAATACTCATAAACCATTTGTTTGTTTTTTTCAGATATTTCACGAGGAAATTTGTATACAGATATTTTACAATCTGAAGACTTATAATTTGAGTAACAATTTGGTACGCAGCATTTTAAAGGCATCATAAACTATTTATTTTAAATTTCTTTTAAAGCAGCTACAACTTTTACAACTTTAAACAGATTTTTTTAAACCGGTCTTCAGTCAAGAAAATTCCTGCACGGTGTGGAGGCCTTCTATTAAGAAGGCCCTGCTATGATTATATAAACGATAAGGGTGAGCAAAAATATCCGATTAATCGGATATCCTAGTTTCGGGTCCGATATCCAATTTAAAAAATTCGAAAATTTAGGTATCCGACACGGAAATAGCGGACTAGTTTTTCCGGGTCGTTTTTCTTTAATATACGAATCCCGGAATTGAATCACAAATTATTGATAAATCGGATATCCTGATATGATCCGGTTTTCTGCACTTACTAACTTAATGTCTCTGAGATACCTAAAAATATCGTATATCAACGCTTAACGACTCACAATCTGTATTAATTGCACATAGATTGATAAGTATAATAAAATAAATAGAGTTGTGAATGTAAATGTTAAAAGTCTGGTCAGGTTTTTCCTGCTAATGCTAACATAGAGCTCAGTACAAACTGCTTCATGACCTGCTGCCTCGTAGGATACGTCTTTTTAGGTAAAGGCTAGGAGATGCCAACTCCAACATAAAACACCCCCTGTCTTGGGGCTCTTGGTTGAGTAAAGGCTAGAGATGGTGTCTCGATATCAATACTCATGTTAGGTAGATGTTAAATGCATCCGGCTGCTGTCTTGTAGAAGGCCTCCTAGGCAAAGACTTAAGGGGTAAACAGATTCTATCTGTTGACTAGCCTCACACCTCTTCTTCCTCTGAAAGGATCTCATTTCTGCTACAGCATGAGGCTTACAGTGGCTGGTGAACTTTAATTCAGATAAAACTCAATTTTTTTCAGCCAATCGTTATCGCAATAATTTAGACCTTCCTATATTTATGAACGGTAATGTACTCGATGAGTCATCTACCCTTCATTTTCTAGGATTAAGTCTTACTTCTGATATGTCTTGGATACCTTATATCAAATCCGTTGCAAAATTAGCATCTGCTAAAGTTGCATCTTTTTATCGAGCTAGACACTTTCTTACTCTGGATTCTATTTTCTATCTCTAAAAATCTCAAACCCAGCCTTGTATGGAATACTGTTGCTATATGTGGGGCGGATCTTCTAATGATGTCCTTTCTCTTTTAGATAAAGTGCAAAAACGTATTGCAAACATAGTTGGACCTGCTCTTGCAGCCAACCTACAGCCATTATCAGATCGTCGTAATGTTGCTTCTCTTTCTCTTTTCTATAAATACTATAATGGGTACTGCTCTAAAGAGCTAGCGTCTCTTGTGCCATCTACTAAAATTCACTCTCGTGTTACTCGTCGTTAAATTTAGTCTCATCCTTTTTCTGTTACTGTTCCTAAGTGCTCCAAAAACTCTTATTCGAACATCAGTTCTTTGAAATTCGCTTCCTTTATCTTGCTTTCCTGATTCATATAGTTTACAATTTT